CTACAGATCAGCTGCAGCCTCTGCAGCTGTGAAGCACAGCTGCACTGTGGGCTACCATCTCAGTGCATCCAAACCAAGCTACTGGGTAGTTATAATCTCTTCTAGTTAGTTTCCAGTTCACTGCTTGAAAACCAAAAGATAAAGCCAGACACAGATCAGAGACTTCCAATCTGTTATGCTATAATCTCAAAAGGTTAAAAATGAAAGTCCTCTGCTGCCAGGAAGAACAGATTCACTGAGGCTTCCCAGAGTTTGAATACCTGCTTCTCATTCCTGAAGGAATAAAACAACAAAACAACCTTTGCTTAAAAAGTAACATGCTTAAAGCACAGCAACTCAATTACAGATGGTTTTATTGATCACTCTGGGTCTTAAACACAATGACTTCTAAAATTTTGAGATTTTGATGGTGAGGCAAGTAAAATAAAAGTGTCTTGTTCTATTTTTTAAACTCCCCTAAAGTTTCCTAAATTGTTTTCTTACCAGGATTTTTTCTTTTCAGAGACATCATCCTACTACCAGATTACAAATGTCTCTTCTCATGGTAGAAACAAAGACTTCATGTGTGAGATGAATAAGTGTAACCACCCACCAACCTATCATCATAGCCTAAACACCTAACCATGCAGAGCAAGCTCTGAAAAAAGGCCTGAACCTTTATCTTTCTTAGGGTAAGGGTGACAGTTTTGACACTGGACATCAGGGTCTCCAGATGCAAACAATGCTTAAACCAAAAGATAAATGAAAACCTTTAAAAAACTCCCACCTCTTTAAACAGCTTTTCTCATTACTAAAGAAGATGATTGAATTATTAAATATTAAATTCTTATTTTAACTTTTTCATTACATAAGCAATAGTAAGTCAAACTTTACACTTTTAAGTGGCATCCTACCACTTCTATTTCTTTTAGTGAAGTGAAATTTACAAAGAGAATTCCTTAATATATCCAGAAATGTTTCAAGAGAAATACCACAGTTTAGTCCAAGCTAAAAACAGACTGCACAGTCTAAGAATGAAGTAAGAGACTGCACATTCTCCTCTGCGCAGTTTACAAAGAATCAGAGAGATGAATGGCACTGAATTCAGGTATTTCTGATGTTACCATTTTTCATTGGTTTCTCATCTGCCTAAGGTTTGAATAGAAGACTATCAAATAGCAAATTACCCAGTTACAATTTGATAGAACCACAAAATTCTAAACCACTAAATTATTCTATATTCCCAAGGTTCAAACAGCAGTATGCCAAATATTAAGATAAAATACCTAATATTTCTTTTACCTCAGGCACAAAATACTTATTTCATAATCATAATTTCTTGAACTCTATGCCTGAAGTTTATTATATTGTATAATTCTAATTTATACATACATATGTATGTATACTAAATAATATACAGTACAAAAGTAAGTACCTATATATTAAATATATATCATCTACCTCTAATGATTAGGGCACATAGTAATGTAAAGAAAATGTCCATTCAAAGGAACACAGGTTCTGTTTTTTCTAAATAGTGCAGAGTGACTGCATCAGAAACAGAACAGGACCTCAATATTTTACTAATGAGGAGATATTCCTCAATACTCCCTCCAAGTATGAGACTCTTAAATTAGAATTAGCATATTGTAATTACAGCAATATATATAGCCACAACTACAAAAGAGTGATGGCAGAGAGGCAAGGTGAGCACAAATGCCTCTAGTTATGCTATTACAGTATACACATATTGAGGGACCAAGCCAAGATCATCTCTGAGTCTGCTGTGGAGGTGAAGAGGCAAAAGTGATGTTTTAAGAAAACAGCTTTCTCAGAGGTAACTAAATTACATTTCAAATCAGACCACAGTATGAGTGTTTTCTTTGCTGCAGAATTATAAATCAGAACAAGCAGAAACTGTCACAGAAGTTCCAAGTTCCATCATAGTCTGAATCATGCAGAGGCAAGTGCTGATGACAGTTGTGAGCACTTACCTCAAACAATATAAACAGACATATGGTATTTGTTTTTAAAGTAAGTAGCATAGAATGATTTTCAGGATGATACATTAGATCATGTTTACTTGAGCATTCACATGATGGAAACAACTCAATACAAACAAAGGGGAATAAAACCTCTCTAGTATAAACAGTTCTGTTGAACAAAAAACAGATTCACTCTGAGGTTAGCTGGTGTTTGTTTAGCATCCCAGCTAGCCCTACTGATAAGTCACTGTCTTCACCGGGTACAGTGTTAGGGACTGAGAATGCTGCTATTAAATATACAAATAACATTCAGCCATTGTGACATGCTACAATGGACCAATGCAAATTGTAACGTAATTAAGTTGTCTCTACGTATTTTCAGAAAACAATGATTTAGTGCAGTGGGCCTGCTTATGCTCCAGCTTGTGCAAGTTGTGTGTACAGTCTCAATTCAGTCATACTGTGTGTTGACACAGACACTAGGTCAGGTTCTGACCACTCAATTCCATCCTCTCAGCTCAGGCAAACCTCAGAGAACAACTAGAACAATCTGTCCTCAAGTATCATGCATATACGTCACGCTTACATTCAATTACATCTTTTGTTTCAGAGTACAGTCTTCACTTGGTCTTTGAAAGGAAATTCAGCTTTCTGATGCCAACTAAACAAAGGTTAGGATGCCAAGCAAATAACTCTGAAGCCCTCCACTCATCCATTTAGATACACTTTCTTCCTCTTTCAGAATTAGCTGCCAGAATTACACACTTGTCCTTGTGAGATATAGACTCACAATGACACTGCTATGATCCACATATGATCTACAGGACACGAGGCATGTCTCTTAAATGCTCTGAATCACTGCCTACTTTTCTCATCTGCAATCTAGACATCCAGTTTCAACAAAAGAAATTGCATCTCCTTAGTCATCCCTAGCCAATTATCTGCTTTTCAGGTACCCTCATAAGGAGGGTAGATTCTGACATGGTATTTACTTAAGCGGTCATTACCCATTTTTTATAGAATGGACCAAGACAAGATGTACTGAATCGGGGAATGCACAAACACGAGGAGAGATAGCTTGTAACAGTATTACATCATTTGTTGCATAAGCTGGAAGGTATGCAGTGAGTAAGATATGCAGGACACTGCAGGAATAGAAAAAGACCTAACAGCAAAGGCAGTTAAATACTTCCTTGGAAGAATAAAATCCTCTCCTCCTTCTGCAGTTAAGACATGTAAGGAAGTAACTCAAGTCATTTTTTCTTACATAGTAACTGTATTATCACCTTTGAATTACCCTGTGATACTCTGGTTATGTTATTACCAATCACCCTTTCCTCTTTGTAATGCTGGTTTTTACTCTCTGTACTGAAGCCATGGCACTGGCATCAGTCTGCCTTCTGGTGCTCAGTCATGACCTGCTAAAGCTAAGCAAATGTATCCTTTCAAACTGTCTTAATATGTTGACAAATGCTTGCATCCACACCCTGACTTTCTCAAACATATTTATTACCTGAAATTATTCAGTCTCCCTCCCCCAGATCAAATATGGAACCACAGTACCACACAGCTACTGTCAAATGCAGTTCTAAGTATAGCCCCAGCTGCAAAACAACTTACGATCCAAACTACACTTCAAATCAGACTCAGAACACACAGTGTCTTTAAGAACACACTGAGTCCTGTAAGGTTGTTGGGATAGCTGCATTTGTTAGCATAGTCAGGGCCATTTTTTTACTATTTCACTGGCAACCTGATTTTTTTTCCAGTCAAAGAATTTCTATTGAAGGCAATACTGGAAGCACTGGTACCACCTGCAAGGTCAGGGACCCACAGTCAGACCCATAGGAACACCACTGAGTAAAAAAAAAAGGGAACTGCCATCAAGAATAGTAAAACCTACCAAGTCATTTCCACACGAAAGCAATGACACTCCATCTCCTGGATGATTTCTAGTCAGATCAGGTGACAACTATCATGCAGCTATTTCCTTATGCCAGGAGGTTGTTAAGAGTTTTCCTGTAGTTCATGCTTCACACATGGAACCTGTACATGGAAGTATGAATTCCACACTGTAAGTTTTTTTTTTTAAAGCCAAACAAAATTATAACCACAGATTTATAAGAAGACAGAATTGATCTCTTCAGTTTTAATATTTGAAGACTATGTCCTCAAACACAGGTAAAATTCATCTTTTTTATATGTGTAGATTCATTTTTAAAAATTATACCGATGTCTTGACAACCAAAATATTTTGCTTACAGATCCCTAGGGCACTAAGTTGCAATATTTATGGCTTAGGTGATATTTCCTTGTAAAACACATTAAATTTTCAGAGTGACATAAATCTTACCTCAAGACATGTTCCTATAGCTCAATTCAATTGCATATAACATATACATTTCCACAAATATACTGTCAGTATTTGGCATACATGTGAATAAAACATGCACATCTAAGGAAGTTTTGATTTATGCATACTATCACATTGTAAGAGAAACAATCTCCTGCTTACTTCAGGAAAATGATGACAGCTTCGTACTTGGTTATCAATAGAAATTTTACCTAACCCAATCAGATTTCACTCTATCTAGCACCTACTGATTCACACCATGACCAACAAACATGGCGCTATGGTGAAGCTTTCCTTCAGTACACCAATATCAGCTGAAATGAAACAAGGTTATCTAGCCCCTTCTGGCCCTTAGGTGGAGGCTATCAGTCCCTCCTTCCGGCCTAAAACAAGGACAGTTTTATCCAAGCAACTTTTAGCAGGTACTTTTCTCTCTACACACTGGCTCTACACAAACTATTAACTCCCTACAGGGTTTCTTTCTCTATTATCTAACTTCAACTATCTTAGGAGCAATTTAAGCCACCTAACTCCTCTTTTTTGCTGTAGACACAACGGGGTTATTCCCTTCCTCTTTTTTAACGTATTTGATGACCACAATTTTTATTTCACCAAACTTTCTCTTTCTAACCTAAGAAGCAGTTTGCCTCTTTAAGCATAAGAACACTACCTGTAAAGAAAATCAATACTGATGCCATGAACAGAAGGCCTTAATTTATCTCATATTTATTAACATCAATGAGGGTGTAGATATTACCTAGCTGAGGCTGGCTTTCTTTAGCTGTACATAATTCCAATGTACCAATGTGTAAGAGCTTCTTCTTTTACTTTCTTAGTTCATACTTCTTCTTGAAAAGCTGTTGCAACTGACCATTATACCATTTGGTATAATAAAGTGGTAACAGCATAGACTCAGAGTAAGAAAAAGTTAGGGAACACCATTTATGTTAAACATTCAGCTCCCTGTTTCAGGTAGTTAAGTCAGATTTTACAATCAATGGTTACAACAGAGACAGAGTATAGTCTACAACAGCTTCCCATGATCTAAAGTAGAAGCTGCCCCAGATCAAATTTAAGCTTATTTTCCAGTGGGCAGTCTTCCAGACCACAAAAACTACCACAATTCACAGACTGCTGCTGTGCAGGTTCAGTGTCCAGGGTTTCAAAATTTCGTAACATTTACCCTTCACATAAAACAGTTTATACAGTATATTGAATGTAAACATGTATACTGATGCTTACAAAAATCAAAAATTAGGGTTAAGGTTTCCAGAGCAACATGAAGCTCTGTTCTCTTCTAGTTATGTGTTACAAGGTACTCTTCACATCGTCCTGTACCACTGAAAAATGTGACATACTACTTGGCAAATGAGATACGACACTGAGTATCTTACATCCTTCCCATCTGTGAAGTACAGTTTTCATCTGGAAGTTCTATTGCATCCAGCATTCTACATGTAAGATGATAACCCATCAAAATGTTGAAATTCCTTACCACATATACACTGGATTGCATGTTTCCAACACATATACTGTGCTGCATATTCCCTGAAAAAGATATGACAGAAGTCTACAGAAAAAGGGAGATCAAAGCGTAATGAGATGAAATTTGACACCTAACATAGTTTAATGAGAAAGATCAAATAAAAAAACTTGGTGGTTCTTTACATCAACCAAGCTGAGAAACTCGCTTATATAGGATACTATGAATATTTCAAAGGTCCACAGCTTCAGAGACTGAGCAAAATCATGGAGGATGGGAATCCATCAAAAGCTACTAGACACAAAGACATCATCCCTTTCTCAGGAAGTCCTCCAGTCTCCAGCACCTCAGAAAATATATGCAGTGTCATTGTCAAATCCGTTATTTCTAAATTGTGTTGAGATGACTGCTGATGTCCAAATTTAAGTAAAGGGAAAAAATTACTTAGTATTTCTGTTGAGCCTAGGAATAGAATCAGAATTAAAGAAAGTAGAATGCACTCAAAAAATTCTAAAAAATTTTAATATAAAATCATTATATACCACAGGTTACAACATACAGTACATATGCATGACTATGCATATATGTACTATACATTGCATATGAAATTGCAAACATCTTCACTTGTAAATAACTACAAGTAAATAATTACTTGTAAAATGTAATTCTGTATCACTATAAATATAAAATCACCATTTTACCTTTAATTTCATGGAATTACCTTATTTTGTGGCATAATGCTGTCAAAGTTCAAATAAAATAGTTATAGTGCAACTTGCATAGAAAACTTTCATTTTACTACACTACAAGCTTTAGCAGTAGCTGGTTCATCTCAATCATCTGCACTGTATTTTTTCCACAAAAAAGTTTCATTTCTTTTCCAAAGAGAACTTTCACACACTTCTCTCTCTTCTGCCACTGTGGAATGAGGGGCTCTTTCACAAAGCTTCTCTATGACTGCTATATCTGTGAGCTTTCTGAAGGTGTCCCCATTCTGTTCATTCAGCATATCCCAGAAATCTTTTGGTCTCCCCTTTGATTTTTCTGCTTGTCCTGAAGAGAATCCCCTTGGAGATCCTCTAGACCCATTTCCATCATTTCTGAAGATTTCATCGAGAATAGAGGTATCTCCAATTAAGTCCACAAAAGAATTTTTCTTGCAAATCTGAGCTTTTCTGTCTCTATTTTCTGACTGAGACATGAATCTTTCCTTTGGTATCTGTATTTCTTCTGAATCTTGCTGTCCTTCACAACCTTTTACAGGCAGCACCTCAATTAGTTCTGATTTACTGCTTAATGAACCAGATGGCATAAAATCCTTGAATGCCTGACTGTTTCTTTTTTGGATATGTTGAGCAGCAATAGTAGGTGATTGTTTATATTTTGCATCAACAAACATATCTTGGAAGTAGGAGTCCTTGTGAAGCTGTTCTGCTTCTCCTTTATGGCCCTCCTGGGTCTGTGTTTCTGTAGTTCCACCCAGAAGTAGTCCTTTAGCTGATGAAGGTCTAGACTCAGATCTTCCAAAATTAACAATGGATTTTCTTTTTCTGGAGCGTGTTCTACCTAGTTCACTTTCCTCACAGTTATGTGAAGCTTCTGCTGGTATTTCAAGTGAGAAGAAAGACTCCATCTCTGGATGCTTGGAAACATAGAATTCCTTCAACATTTTCTGCCTGGTTTCTGATGTAGCTTTTGCAATGTGTTCTGCAAGGTCCTTCACTGATCCCATATTAAAGTGAGATACCATTTGCTCAAATTGTCTCCTGTAATTATCAAGAAGGAAAAATGTGTTATGCTGACACCCTTAACAAGGTAGTGGGGGAAATGGGGAGGAAATAGTTGTTCCAAGTCCTTTAAAAGACTTGCTAAACAAAAATTGGATAAATGTATGCGCAGGAGACATTGTCCACATCATCCTACCCAGTGAATTATGGAATATTTGTTTCTGCTAAAAAGCCAAGCTCTAATTAAAACAGATCACTCTAGTCGAGTGATCAACAATCCCAAGCTGGAGAAAAGATATGAAACATGTCACTTTTCCAGTTATGAGGGCTCCCAAAGGCAGTAAGATTTAACCCTGTTTGCCTCAACTACCACTTGACTGGATAGCTCCAATCACTTGATTGTGGTGACTGCAGGCAGCTTCCCAATCTGCCCTACAATTACAACAAACTGAGGCATGTAACCACCCTCATTCACTCTGTGGCACATCCACATGTACTACAAAGTCTAACGTCATGCCAGGTGCTAAAAATTAACCTGCTCAATGCTCAGGAGTGAATTGTTTCAGTTTTTTGGTAGATATGGCTTTAGGATCTTGGAATAACAGCCTTAGTCACTTCACTGCCTTTGAAAATTTTACCTCAAGAGATTTTTCGTAACTAATTACGATTTTGAACATTTTTAGAATGAAGGGTTCTCCTTTACCTGCATAATAAATATTTATAATTTTCAGTGTCTATAATAGTAAAAAAACCTGACAATTACTGGCACTTTGACAATAACAGTACAGATAACTGAAGCCAGCTAGCAGATATGACAGCTTCTGAATGCTTACAGGCATTACCTAGATACCAACTTTCATATAGTAATTTACTTCTCTCAAGGCAAATTGAAAATATATACCAAATGCCTGTTCTGTAGGTTTGCTTAGCTAGCTACAGCATTCCACTTTCTATTTCCACAAACCACCAGGCTATTTTTATGGAATTTCTATCTACGTAACAATGGAAATTAATATTCATATTAATAACAGCAATCATTTGGGAAAACAGAAAACAAAAAATTATTATCCCTCCAAAAATAACGGGGGGGGGGAAGCATTAAAAGAAATACTGAAAAATACTGAGCCCCATGCTAAAAAAGAAACATGAAGCCCATTTTTTTAAACAGCCATTCAATGCAAGTGATGAGATCTGGGCAGAATCAGTAGGCAGTCAGAAGCTAATGTTATAAAATGCCTCCTTTCTATATAGTTTAAACAGTGTTTTGTATAGCCCATGATGCACGTAATACGAACACTCATAGTGACGACATCTACAGAGTTATGTAATATATGACCACTGTATCAACACATTCAAGTAATTTGTGGATTCAATTAATTTTATTAATCAATTACAGTACTCATAGAGTAGTGTGAGTCGAAGTTTCCCATTAATTCCACTCTTGCCATAGAAAATAACAGTATTGCCTGAGCAGGGTTGAAACAAAGACAAATGCTACTACTGAAAAAGTTTGTTTCACCCTTAGAATTTTACTTCCAACTCACCAAAACAGTCTCACCTGCGTATTCCTTTGGGTGTCCTTCCAATCAAGAAAGTGGCTGAACCTACTCTGTGTACTTTTTTGCTTCTCTGGGTCACAGGATGTGTAACGTACAGATAATGCTTACTGTTCTTCAACATTTCTTGCCTTTCCTTAACAACTTTCTTCTCTGAAGTATTGTCTTCTGAAACTTCATAATTTTTCTAGTAAAAGGAGACATTGAAGTCATTAGAACAGCTGTGCCTCTGATGTAACAATGCACCCAACTGAACCCAATTCTGCCCCTTGTAACTAGCATTACCAGACTGAACAGAAATGCAGATTCCCTGCTCAGTCACAAGATTCCAGGGACATTGAAGGAAGTCTTGGTTCTCTGACATCTTGCAAAAAATATGATCCTATTTAAACCTGACTTATGTTTCTGAAATTTTCAAAAATTCACACCAAAATTTCCCCTTTGCCAAAACACATCTGCTTAGTGATATCCTCAGTCTTCCTACAAACACTACTTCAGAGATTAAATCACAAATTGCATTCACACCTTGTCATCTGCTGTTCGAAAACTCGTTTCAGATCTACACTGTTTCTTCTCAATGTTTTTCTACTTGATCCATGTCCATTTCCTTTATTTTCATGGGCTGTTCACAATGTTCTTGAGCTTTAGGATCTTACATGTGTTCTCACTCCACTACTTTGGTAACTAAACTCAAACTAGCATACAGAGAGAGATGTTAGTATCACAGAACCTACAGGCATACATTTCACTGTAAGACAAATGTGCAGCTCCAAAGACCAAAATTTTACTTCACCATTATGTTACTCCACACAACACTGAAACCCCACCCCAATTAAGATAAAAACCCTATTCTCCCAATAATGGTATAACATTAGTAACAAAATTAAGAATTAGTAGACATTATATGTCTATATTAGTAGACATTATATATTATAATATTCTACAGTTCTCTTGCTGGTTCTATATACATTTGTTAACTTTTTTACTTGGAAAATGTATTGTCAAAAAAGAAAGCAACCATAGTTTAAAAAATATTTATTTTTTGGATTTTTTGCATGAAAAATACTTACAAGTATTCTGATCTCACTATGATAAGACAGCCCATTTTTCACTCTGTTAGGAAACCAGGGCTGTATAATTTAATTCAAGAAAGTATAACTTGAATAGAATACAAGACAAACCATGTAAATGCCTGCCTTAAAGTTATGTTAAACCCCCATAAATGTGCATCAATCTACCTCTCATTAAACAAGACTGAAGTATATAAGGCAATAATACTTTGGTTAACACACATGTTCAAACACAGAAGATTTTTAATATCTTTGGGAAAAAAGCCAAATGTTGTAAACACACTGAAAGTCATAAAATCGCTTGTCTTTGCAAAGAACCACATTTAGCATGAGAAGCATTACTAATTGCATATAAATGCACAAAAGGCATTATTTAGTTCTGGAAGCATACAATTTTAGGTACACCGCACCACCCAAAAGAACAACATCAAAATACCACCAAAAATATACAAAGAGCATGTCTTCTTCCACTTAAATAAGTTGTTTAAAGGTGGGGTTTTTTTAACTCATGGCAGAAAAAGTTACTGTAAAAAAAATTATTGCAAGAACTGTAGGAGCGAATTCCAGTGAAAGTCTGGAGCCATTGTGAGTTACTCCTGAAAAACTTCCCAGCTCCCTAGAGCAAAAGCAATTGGTTACATGATACCCAGTAAGGCTGAAACACAACAACTGACTGCTGAACAGGCAAACGTTTTAGAAAGCCCAACACCTAGCTCCTAAATCCAGGAATTTATTTTTTAAAAAAATAAACATTTTTTTAATAAACCTAAAACACATCTTTTTTTACATATCTCCATGTTTGTTAAAGGTCAAATCTGATGTTTATTACTCTGAATGACACAATGTGTGACAGGGTCTATGTATAAGTAAGATTTGAAAAATGAGATGAAAATATTTTTTCTATTAGCATTACTATCAAAAAGTGAAAACTTCAGTCAATACTGCAGTACTGTCAATATTCTACACTACTTTGCTTTCCTTTGAATTTGACTTCCTGTATTGTCCTCCTAAATTCACTCATCTCGTGGCCAGTATCTTTTCAATTATCTTTCCGTATTTGCCCTCTGAATCACTGATCTCATAATGAACATTTTTCAACAGCTTTCTATATTTTTCTGTTCCTCAAGCCCTTTCATTGACAAATTACTCTGTCCACACTCCTCGCTTCTACAAGAAACATCGTGTATAGTGCTGGTCATGTTCACACAAATTATCAAACTTATCACATGCATAAGACAATCTCACAAAGCAAGACTGAAACCAAGACAACTTGATTCAGCTAGAAGCCTCTGACTCTTGCTCTTCTCGAGACACTAGCACATTTAATCTGTTTCTACTATTGAATGTCACACTCTGTATGACATTCAATATGTCATATTTGGATATTGTATGATGGAATAATAAAGGAAACAAAAATCCTTCTGCATGCTGAATGCTAAAAGAATACTGACAGAGACAATGACAGCAATCAGGAAAATCTTTACTAAATATTTAAATACACTACACACAATATGCCTTTGCAGTTCATGTTATAAAATTTCTATGGATCAAAGTGGAAAATTTCACCTAAACTTGACCAATACTTGTTTGTCATCTGACAAATTATATTTGTCTATATTGAATTATCTGTAACATAGATACATTATACATTTCTGTTTTCACAAACGTGAGGGGGAGGGACACAAGATGCAGCAGAATAATTACATGGACATCAAAGATAAAACATTTTGATTTAATTACTGAATGCACTATTTTTACTACTTTATTAAACTTTGTGCACTTCCATTATGTCAAGAAAACCTTCACAGCAAGTTCAAAAGAAATGCACACTTTATTTACTTTCAAAGGCATATATAAAAGATAAAGACCATGCAAGTGGTTTAGTAGAAGGCAGTGGTTTTTAATTGAAAAAACGAAATGAGAAAAAGATACACTCCAGAAATATCCAACTAAACGCAATGACAAAGTTAATGAAAGTACAATAAAATGAAATTATGAAGTGCTATTGTGAACCCATTGAAAAACCCACAAAACTGTAGTCAGTCCTTCCTGTTTTATCCTTGTTTACCTCTCCTATTCTGCCTTGATCTACTACGCTTAAGACACTTTTTATATATTGCAATGGGAAAGAAGATTAAGTAGTTGTTCAGAAAATGGTTTCTAGAGTATTCAGAAAACCCAGGGACTCTTACTACAATGGTAAAATACTTTGAAGAAAGCATGCGTTGACCCCTTTCATGTTCCATTTAGTCTATGATGGTTTTGATCCCTTCTTCTTTAGTTATGTAATTCTCTTATTCTTGAAAGTGTATATCGAGTTTTGGATACCAATAATGAGTTTTGATTCCTTTAAATTACATATTAGCTAATGCAGCAATCAAGAATGTAGCAAAAATGCTAGACACATTAAGTGTCACACAACCCAATTAAGGGTAACACTCTTCAAGAAGCATGAACACAGGCATCAAGCAAAAAACTTAAGTGCTACAATGCAGCAGTAATACCTATTTCAAGTTTCCATCCTGAATCTACAACTCTTAGACCTGTTAGCTCTGTATGGCAATCTGTCTCCTGCTGCCTACAGGCCAGTTACAACTGGCCAGTTACAACTGTTATTTAAAAACAGTATGCACCTACCAAATGAAGTTCTGATCTATCTTTGAGAGTACAAAATTTCAGTATCTGTCCTTCTTGTAACATGAATAAAGAGGCAGCTCTGTACTCTGGAGCAATGAATGCTAGTCCATGTACATGCATCATCTGACAGGACTGAGATAATTGGCACCTTAAGCCAGTAAATTCCTTTTCTTTAGTCTCTTCAAGCAAGGCAAAGGACAACAATGTTTCACTTTTTTAAATACAGCAAGATGAAAAGGCATGGTAGAGTAAGTGGGCAGAAGCTGGGAGTAAGATTAAGTAGAGAAAAAAAGAGAAACAGAGATACTTGTTTTTTAAACTGTCTCATGTCTGTGGCAATTTGTTATGAAACCTGACTTGGAGGATAATGAACATCCTTCAGAAGCCTGAAGCTGAAAACGTTTGTATCATTATTCTTTAGCCATAGTTGCATCATGTTCAAGCACCTTCCTCTCTTTTAGTGCCTCACTACCCAAAGTATCCCTGCAGTAACTAGTTTGCCAGATACTGACTTCCAGTAATCAATAAACTCTCTGACTTGCCCCCGGTGTTGTAAGAGTTTTCTCCTTCGGTGTGCATGAAACCACTGCTGTCAGATATCCAGGATACTTATCATTGCACAGTTTCATTATTTACGTTTCTATAATAAACAAGAGTAGCCTTCTAAAATGTCTAGTTGCAGCCACCCAAAAAACACAAAAGAAAGAAACAATAAATTCAGTATGACTAACCTCTTGAAATACATCTTATGACAAATAACAAACCATTATGCCATATCTTAATTTATATATTCCTCAAAACTTCCCTCAAAACTTGGGAAAACACATGACTTTCCCAATACATTGTGAGTTGAAGTTGGTTTTGGATAATTGCTATTAATTTGATGATTTGATACTGCATTCCAGTGACTCTGTCTACACAAACTACAATTCTAAATTATTTCAACTAATCTTATTCCCTTTTGCAGTTCTTCCTTGTGGTTTTTTGTTCTGGTTTGGAGATTTTTGTTGGTTTGGGGTTTTTTTCCCCTGGCAGTTTTTCTGATTATATATATATATATATACACACATATACACACATACATACATACATATATATATATATATATGCACACATATATATAATATATTAATAATTAATACAGACCCTTCTATATGCTTTTATTGAACATATGCTATTGCTACGTATTATTTTTATTTTACCAATGTCTCTCTGCTGTCAGGACATACACAAAGTACTAAGAAATGTTTGATACCTGACTGTCCATTCTTGGTCTTTTTTCCTTCTCTCTTCTACACAGGCTGATAGATTGGTTTGAGTTGGAAGGGACCTTTTAAAGCCTATCTAGTACATGTACATGTCACACAACAATTTCTTCCTAAATTATTCTGTATGTCAAGGAAGATAAATTATAATAGTGTCTAGATAAAATTTCATGCAGTTTCTTTAAAAATGAGGTCCACATGGTGAAGACAAAAAATACAATTATAAAAAAAAAAAGTATCTACTTTCACATGATTGTTAAATAAACTAGAATTACTTTTCTACCTGCCAAGGACACACTACTGAACAAACTGTACTTCAGAGACTTACAGTGAGTTATAAATTCCAATTTAAAATGAGCCTAAATCTTACAATATTTCAGAATTATTTTTCATGTGGACATTAGTTTTTCCTTTGAATTTAGCTTTCTTAATAGAAAAGCAGTCTGTGAATGAATGCATCTGCTGTTCTAGCAAAATAAGGTTGCAGAATGCGAAATACAAGTAACGTATAGTCAACAGTCAATATCTTAATTGTCTTAGAAAATGAAGGTAACCTACCTTAAAATTTTAGAACACTTTAGGATAACAATATTTATATCAAGCTTTCTGAGTTAAACAAAGTATGCTGGCTATGATTACAAGTATATCTAATATTTGAATGTATCCCAGCAGACTAACAGCAGAAATATTTTTCAAGTTCTAAAAATTGTTAAGATTTATTACAGATC